GGGATGAAAACTGAGTTAGGATCATGATTGTTAATTAACCACAGCTAACTGCGAACTATGAAAATATGAAGATCTTCAGTACCCAGATCCTTAAATGGTGACAGACCTGACATAAAAAGATCATGATGATTAGAGGGCTGAGGATAATAATAGAACAAAGGAATTCCCGATTAGGAATAGTTTCGGTGAAATTATGGGATAAAAATAGTAACACAAAATTAGTATATAGATAGTACTATAAATGTACACAAATAATGTAAAATGTAGGCAAGGTTCTGATAAAAGGTTCTATGAACTTGAAAATTTGAACTAATAAAACAGCTATCAGTTGCAGCCTACTAGTGACCAAGCAGTGGGAAATTAAAAAAAAAAAAATTTTAAATAAAGATTTTTTAACAAATATTTTATTAATTTTGGTAAATTTTTTTAATTTTATAAAACAATAGACTTAAAAAAAACAAAATATATCAAATTTAATTAAAAAAATTAGATTATTTTATATATATATATTGTTTAAAATTTTTTTTAAATTTAATTAATTTTTTTGAAACTAAGATTTTTATTTAATAATAAGAACATAGTAGTTTGTAACTAATATTTTTTTTTTTAAATATTAATAGTGAAAGTTTGTAACTAATGTTTTAAAAAATCGTTATATATATATATATATATTTGCTTTTGTTAAACTAATATTAATAGAGGGTGTGACAACCTAGTGAAGTAGTCAGATTGTCAACCCTTCAAGTAGTAGATTAGATGTTCAAATTCTATCGATGGTGAAAATTTGGATAATCATCTATGTAATATTCGTATTATAGTAACTGTTACTAACAATTAGGTTAGGATACTTGTAATGGCAGTCACATCAGCATGACTGGTAAGTCATGGGGCATTCATGTAACAGGTCGCATGACATTGTCCTTTGGGACAAGGTTGTGGTTACATGAAGGAATGCAAACCGGCAATAGGCAGTACAAACACTAGATAAGTCCTTGTGGCCATGTAAATCTGTTGAAATTAAGTAACAAAAGATCTATTTGGAAAGACCCGAATAGAGAAGTAGCTAGATCTTCGATGGCCCTACTGTAAAGGCTAGCCTGGAGAAACAGATACCAAGGCCATAGTACCTGATCATAGTAGCTGAATGGGCAAGAACCTCTGAGTTGGGTAGCTCAGAGATACCACCAACCAGGCTACCAGAACGAACTGGAGGAAAAGGATATTGGGCTGACCTGATATACCGATGGACTGGTTGTAGTCCTACACAGACTATCTGGATTGGGAGTTTGGTAAAAAGGTTGGACAAAAGGCAAGAGTATACTAAAGTACTGGGGTTATGCTGTAAAGTAGATGCTAGGGTCTAAGTGAACTCTACAAGGGCATAGTGGTTTAATGGTTAGTCCTGACCACAAGTGTTGGTTTTGCTATAGTGATACCTAGGTTAGCTGTAAAAATGGGTACAGAAGGCTCTGGAGGGTTTACCTCAAGAATAAATTAGTCCTAAGTTTGAGGATAATGATCTAGTACATTAGAGATAACCAGTAATGTTAATACAGATTACAGGTTCAGAGGGTTTAAAATAGAACATCCAAACAGGGGTGTTAGATATGGCAATTGGTAGGAAACCTTCAGGCGGACTCCTTAAATAGGTAATATAGAAAAGTTATACATGTAGCCAATTGTATGCTCTCCTGTAGTGGTTCATTGAACCACAATACTGATAAGTGATTAATAAAAGTCAAAAGACCAAAAAGGTCACCTTAATACCAAAAAAAAAAAATAAATAAATACTCCAAGCTTCTATTTGAAATAATGCATCTAAGATTATAGATCTTCTTTTTTCATCTAACTAATCAATAAGATATAGTTATTGTAATACAAATATAATTATTCAAATTTTATCATTTATAGGATTTGAATACTAAATTTGTTATTTAGGAATTAACAACCTGTCCACTTTACTAGATCATCATATTTAGTATTTTTATAACTTAATCTAAGTTGAATATAATTTTATAATATAATTATATTATAAATTATATATGATTTTTTGAGTTTTTATTTAAAATAATAATTTAAAATTACAAATTATTTTTTTTAATTTAAGCAATTATTAAGAGTTAGTTATTATAATAAAAATATAATTTTCAAATTTTACTATTTATATGATTTAAATACTAAATTTGTTACTTAAAAGTTAACAACTATTATATATTTTTTATTGTTATTAAAATTTTATAAATATATTAAAAAAAAATAATAATAATTTAAAAAAACTCTTAATTATTTATTATATATTATAAAAAAAATTTTTTATATCATAGAGATGTAGCAACTTAGTGAAGTGGTTAGGTTGTCAACCCTCTAAGTGGTAGGTTGGGTATTCAAATCTCATTAATAGTGAAAATTTGGATAATCATCTATGTAATATTTGTATTACAGCAACTGTTACTAATGATTGAGTTAACATATCTGTAATGGCAGTCATACTAGTATTACAAAATAGATTTTTAGCATAGCATAATATATTATATTATTATTAGTTGTTTTATATTTATTATTGTATTTTATATATATTTATTATTAGTTATTAGCATAGTTATATTATAGTATATAGTAGTTAGAAAATAGGATCTTAATTGGCTGTTAGAAATGTGATACAGACACATGACATTGGGTAACATTTATGATGTCATTATTGTCTTACAAAACTACAAGTATCCTTACACAAGTTTCATGTATCCTAGTACAATTTACTGTGCTAAATACCATAATACAAGAATTCCAAGTATCCCTAACACAATCTTCAAGTATCCCAACACAATCCTTAGGTGTCTCTGCACAAACTCAAGTACCTTGACACATGCTTCAAGTGTTTCAAGTACAAATGACAAATACATATAAACATTGTTCCAACTATCCCTGTACAAACTCCACTTGCCTCTGCACAATCCCTACTACTCTAAATACAGTATCAAGAGATGTTACTCAAACCCCACTACCCCCACTAGGTAAAAAGATATATAAAGAGTACCTTTTCTTCTTCCCTGCCAATTTTAAGTTTCTATACTTTAACCCAGACCTAATGACCTTTTAATGATAAAATATGATATTCCCCCTCTAGGCTAATTCCTACAGGCAAGGTTGTCACCATGTATTATTAATAAAAAGTTAATCTATATACTGTTATTATTTCGAACTGTTTGCCTATTGCTGTGTAGTAAAGTGAACTATCACACCTCTACCCTATATATATTTGCAATAGTCAATCACTGTATTGGGTAACCTTGTTACTTGTACCAAGAAGGCTGCAACTCTGTAACACTAGCATGACTGACAAATCATAAGATATCTGTACAATGTTAGAATTACATAGAGGAATACAAACTAACAAATTAGGTAATACAAATACTAGATAAGTCCTTGTGATCATGTAAATCTGTTGAAATTATATAACAAGAAGTCTATTTAAGAAAACTTGAATAGAGAAGTAGCTAGATCTTCAACAGTTCTGCTATAAAGACTAAACTGTAAAAACAGATACCAAGATCTAGTACCTGATCATAATAATTGAACAGACAAGAATTTTCGAGTTAGAAGTCTTAAGAGTACTACCAACTAGACTATCAGAATGAACCAGAGAAAAAGAATATTAGACTAACCTGATATACTAATAGACTAATCATAATCCTATACAGATTATCTGAATTAAGAATTTAGTAAAAAGACAAATAAAAAGACAAAGATATACTAAAGTATCAGGATTATACTATGAAGTAGATACTGAGGTCTAAGTGAACTCTACAAGAACATAGTAGTTTAATGATCAATTCTAATCACAAGTGTTGGTTTTGCTATAACAATATCTAGATCAACTGTAAAAATAGATACAGAAGACTCTAGAAGGTTTACCTTGAGGATAAATTAGTTCTAAGATTGAGAAAATAATCTGAACATCTAAGTATGATTCAGTGAGTTAATATAGGTTACAAGTTCAAAAAGTTTAAAATAGAATATCCAAGTAGAGGTATTAAGTATAACAATTGGTAAAGAACCTTTAGGCAGACTCCTTAAATAGGTAATATAGAAAAGTTATATGTGTAACCAATTGTACACTTTCCTGTAGTAGTTCATTAAACCACAATACTAATAAGTGATTAATAAAAATCAAAAGACCAAAGAGATCACCTTAATACCAAAAAAAAAAAAAAATTTTTTTTGCACTATTTTTGTGTATTTTATATTATAATCATCACATATTGTCTAATAAAATATTATTAACTAATAAGATTTTAAAATAGTTTGTGCCATTTTTGATTGGACAAACTTGCTGCATATTTACCAAAATAATTTGCAAAAAATAACCAATCACAAAGAAAGCCTGTTATGCTGATCCTACTAGAGTAACTTAAAAAATACACCAAAAATTCCGATTGGACAAATTAAAAGTACTCTTTAAAAGTCATAAAATACATAATATTGCTATTGTACTACATACCTTTACATAAAAGTTAAGCGTCCAAAAAACCATTTTGCAAAGTATAAAAAATTTCGTATGATATAAATTTACCCAACTTATATTTGAAATCAGCAAATGGTAAATCACGATTAGGTGCAACGTAATACGATCGGAAAGATCCAAACAAATGTCTGAAGAGTATCACGTGAAAACAGAGTAATCACACCTCTATATAATCAATATTTACTACATATATATACGCAAACAAGTTTTTTTTTTAATTACGTACTTATAATTTACAAGTTAAAAAACCAATATTAACTATATACCAACAATTATACGTATAAAATCCGAACTCTAAACAAGCTAATTTGATTAATATTTTTTAACCTATTAATTATATAAAATAGGGGAAATGTGCTAACGCTAAAGGTGATAAAGGTTACACAATTATCTTACCTGGTAAATTCTATTACTATATAAGAATATTATATAAAGACAAAGGATCGAGCCATCAATTCTTTGGTGGTAGGCTTTAAAAATGAAGGAACAGTCGAAAAATCAACGATGTACTGAAAAACGGATTGGAATCGAAATTGACCAATTATCAAATTCTTCAGACACTAGACCCCTGAAAAGGAGTCGACTAGAATCAACTGTTGACAGCCATTTACTGTCTTTAACAATTGCCAATGATCCCTCAACGCGTGGGCCACCTATAATTAGCAATTTACCACTGCTACACTACAATAATTACAATCCAGTCTTCAATAAAGTTTATTCGATCGGTTCCGTGACATCACAATTCACACCAACTTCACGGACTACTTCAGTTTTGCCTACTGCACAAATTCCTGCTCCGGTTAGTAGTTCTTCCAAACAGAAAGAGATTGTCGACTTAACAAGCGATAACAGTGATGACGATTGTGTAATTGACGAAGAAGAGACGAATAGAAATTTGTGCTGGGGAATGATCAAATCCCTAGTATTGGTTTTATACCCAAGGCCTTCGTGTAATGGTCAAGATGAAGAAGTAGTAGAATTGAAAAGAGAAGGTACCAGGTTAAAGAACCAAGGTAAACTTAATCTTTATTATACTTAATTCTTTATTAGTATTACATAAACCATTAACAACGGGAAATATTCTTCTGTCTATATGTATTAAGCTGTAATACGAGTTACCAAAAATGGTGAATCAGTAAGTTTGTTAAAATATATAACAAGAAACCATTCTATGATAACGGAAAAAAATTTTATTTTTACATCATGATTGTCAAGTTTGGTGTAGTTGAACAAGAGCTGGCTAATGTTCTAGCCCCATTAATGGACGAAAACCTAATGTGGACAGAAGCTTCTATCCCAAAAAATTTGTCATCATCAGTAAATTTCTCATTTCATACAGTATTCATCAAAATATTCCATTTCAATTAATATATTAGAACATCATATATATCATATATAGGAAATGATGATACCTCTACATATCGTCTTATATGGGCGTCCTGGAAATACAGAGATTGTAAGCACACACTTGGCTGAAAGAAATGTGCGCCTAACCGATCCTATTATTTACAATGTCGCGACGCGTTATTCGAATCCACACAATTTGCTACATGGTAGCATTTCTCAATTGAGTAAAAACGTCAATAATTCTTATAGAAGTTATCAAGAAACTTATAGAAATACAACCACAAGGTCCCCTGAAGAAATGAAAAATCAAATTGATAAAGTATTTAATTCCTTAATGAATGCTGAAAATATTCCAGAAGCACAGCCTGGTTAGTTACCAAACAATGCTTGTAATCTGAATAATTTTTATCACTGTTCACCATTATTAAGGTTGATTTTGGCTAATACTGCAACTCCAGATCCGCGCCTTATTACGCCGTTATACAAACATCAAAAACAAGCTCTTTATTTCCTTTTAGAACGTGAAAAATACAATGACTTTACTAACGATGAAACTAACGCATTGACATCTCTCTGGCGCACGGGAACAAGTGCTGGGCGTCACACTGTTTACTATAATGTTATTACAAATAAAGAAACAAATGAAAAACCCCAAATGAGGGGTGGGATTGTAGCAGATGATGTATGTTTTATTTCAAAGCTATTGTGTTAAAACCTTTGGTCATTAAGCGTAATTTCTTCATTATAGATGGGGCTTGGTAAAACAATACAAATAATCGCATTGATACTTAGTACTCAAAGTGAAGCACACAGTTTCTGTCAGAATTCTGACGAGGCATGTCCTTCGAATGCCATGATCGAAACTTCAAAATTTGGTGCACATTTAAGTGACAGTCTCGCAAGTAAATCTCTCACATTTTCTAAGCAGGATCCTTTGATAAGATCAAGAGGAACTTTAATAGTATGTCCTCTTTCAACTGTATCAAATTGGGAAGAACAACTTTCTAGTCACGTTCAAGAAGGTGCATTGAGTTTATATGTATACCATGGAGGGGCTCGAATTTCAGATCCTTCTCTTTTAGTGAACTACGACGTTGTGATAACGACGTACAATGTCTCTGGAACAGAGTACAGCAAACAGTCAAGGGAAAATTGCTCTATACCTAGTGCATTGCAGAAGATCCATTGGTTCCGCATTGTGTTGGATGAAGCGCACATTATTAAGGATGTTAATACAGTGCAGAGTAAGGCTGCATATTCTTTGGAGGCAGAGCGTCGATGGTGCTTAACTGGGACACCTATTCAAAATAGGTAAGAGTTTTGCTAGTATTGTTTTATGTCCAAGTCCAAACGGCATTAATATTAGTATATATTTTTTTCATAGAGTTGATGATCTTTATGCTCTTATCAAATTTCTTCATATGCATCCTTTTGATGAAAGAGATAATTGGAATAAATACATATCACGCCCTATAAAGTCAATCGATTTTGTTGGCATAAGTCGCCTGCAGATTTTAATGAAATGCATCACCCTTCGCAGAACAAAATCACATAATGGAAAACCCCTGCTATCTTTGCCACCTCGTAATGATTGTATACGATATCTTGAACTTAACGAGTATGAGCGTAAATTGTATGATAAAATACGTTGCTCTCAAGCAGAGCAGTTTAGGAGATTAGAAGAACAAAATAATATTATGCAACATTACGTGAACATTTTACAGTCTTTTTTAAGATTGCGCCAAATTTGCGCACATTTTGCTTTAATCAAAGAGACAGAGCTACAGGATGATTTTGAAGACAAAACTGTTAATGATGGCTTAACCCCTAAAAGAGGAATGATGTTGCTTAACCTTATCCGAGAAAGCGGCATGGATCAGTGCGGTTCTTGTATGCAGGAATTAGCGCAGACTTCCATCGTGACGAAATGCGAACATTTTTTTTGTATGGAATGTGCAACAAGGGTGATGGGTGATATATTAGTCTCAATAAATTCAATAACAAATTCATGTAAATCGCCCGCATTTGTTGCTTGTCCTTCGTGCGGATTCACTTTAGGAACATCGGACGTCCTTGAGGTCAATGATTCAAAAAATTTCGAGAATAATTGTCGATTAAAAACAAATAGAGAAAAGAATGTGCATAGTACTAAAGTAGAAGCTTTAGTCACTGACTTATTGCAAGCAAAGGTCGATGGTATAAAAAGCGTTGTATTCTCACAATGGACAAGGATGTTGGATTTGATTGAGGTTCGAATTAATGTATTTATAATGTATACATTTGCATATAACCAAAAAAGTCAACGTTGATTTCTATATTTCTATGATAGGATGCTTTGAATGAAAAAAACATTCTTTTTACGCGTCTGGATGGTACGATGACTCGAGCTGAGCGTACGCAGAATATGGACATTTTTAAGCAGGAAAATGACGTGAGCGTCATACTCGTTTCATTAAAGGCTGGTGGTGTTGGGTAAGAGTTGACTTGACAATTTACTCTCCACATCCTTATTATATTAAACATTTTGGGTCAAATATATATGTATAACAAATGTATGAATTTGAGCTGTCTCTAGCGATAAGAATCCTGTTAATTCAATGCTTTCCATATCCACAGATTGAATTTAACAGCCGCACAAAGAGTATATCTTATGGATCCTTTTTGGTAAGATAAAGTTATATGATTCATGAATTCATGAATTCTTTGACAGGTTAATAACTTGGTTTTGTTTAAAGGAATCCATCAGTAGAAAATCAAGCGATTGATAGAATTCACCGACTGGGACAAACCTCTGCTGTAGATACTATTAGATTTATTATTCGGGTAAGTTTTATACCCATCAAATTCATTATATGTTAGATGGTGAGTACTTAATTTAATTAAATTCATATTTGCTAGGATTCCGTGGAAGAACGTATTTTAGAAATGCAACGTCGCAAATTAGAACTTGCAGAGTTAACGTTATCCAAAAAATTGAGTAAACAAGAAATCGCAAAACGTAGATTAGAGGATTTGAAAATGTTGTTCAAATGATTATTGAAAAATATTTTAACACTGTTAATATTAGGGTTTCTTGGTTGTTAAATATTACATGCCAGGAATAGCTGATAGTTCAGTGTTTTGTTCATATATGTTAAATAAACTTTAAGATGTTATGAACTATTTTGCAAAAGCGTTCTATGATATAGACAGCATAGAATACGCTCGTATCCAATTGTTCGAAAATTTCACGCGATTAACTGACTGATACAATAGTACCCTTTTGCGTTTGACGCTAGTTGATAAATCGACTTACTCAACAAAAATAGACTTGGTGTTCAATCAATAGATCGGAGGCAAATTTTTAATTAGTCAGGAATTGAATAAATTAGACAAGTGAGTTACCGAACTTTGCAACAGCACCCATCAACACGTGATTATCGATTTTTTAAGAATTAGGGTTAGTGTACCTGTATTAAGGTTAGGTTAGGATAAATAGGTTTTATGCCTTCCCGACATTTTTTAATTAATGTAATGCTCCATGATAGGTTTAGACCAGAGCCCTCGGAATTTTCTAGCAGCTAAAATAGCACTAGCGATATTACATATCCAAATCCAACCAAAATTTGCTTATTTTAATTCTACATGTCTATAGAATACACAAAATAAAAAAAAATTTACCGAGTTTAGTTTGTTTTCATGATATTGCTTATATTATTTTAGATGCTAGAAAAATCCGAGGACTCTGGTTTAGATTGCCGTTTCCTATGTTTTTTGCGGGGGTTCTCTTTGATTGGGCGATAGTCACGTAGTGTTGCGCGCTCTTCTGTAATTTGACCAATCGAATTTTAAGATCAGGTGTTGCGTAAAAATTGAATAGTTTTAAATTTTTGTTATGAAACCATCTTCGGTGGCCTAATTAAAATTGTTTCTTGTGAAATTCTACTAATAGTTATTACATTTTTCAGTTTTTTAGACACTCAATTTTTTACTTAAAAAACAAAAGTTTGTTTGCTATCACGTTACACTTGATTTTAAATTTTAATTGGTCAAAATCTTTTCCTAATGGGTTGGTATTAATGATAATCAAGTGTACGTATTAATTTTTTTTATTTTTGTTTTTGTTAAGGCTGTAGTGTAACACGATCGAGAAGATCAAAACAAAATGTTCGTTTTTTCAAGAATCGCTTATTTCTCAAAAATTTGTATAATGTGCTCTAACTAAAAAAATTTATTGAGCAATTTTACTATAATCCCCACAAGCGCCTAGCTTTATTAGAAACACTAATATCATCACGTGACAGCAACTTTTTACGGCAATCCTGAGTAAGATTCTAAAGCGGGCAAAATCACTTCGGGTAGTTAATTAAAAATATCGGAAAGGCAATTTGGCTTATATATCTATCTAAAACCCAACCTAACCCTAATATAAGATGCCCTAACCATAAAGTTAACTCAATAAATATATTATAAGGAATCTACTTCGCTTTAGACGTCCCCAATAAAGGTGTGATCGACACTGTCCATATTTGGTAGAATCCCTGACTGTAATGCTGTGATTTAGGGTCTACTAAGAATCCACATAAATTCTTTGGTTAATAATTCTAACCTAAATCCTAACAAAAATAAAAAATTTTTTTTTGAATAGGTCCAATTCTCAGCATCAGTCAATTCAGTATCACCAATGACAATAATTTTTCTTGGGCATCGCAGAGGTTAAATTATAAAAAGACTTAATTATATGTAAATTAGGCGATAATCATTTTTTACTTGATAAATTAAATCAAGTTGACATAAGTTTATAAATTTTAATTGATCAATAATTACTGGTCCTCATCATCCATATCCATGGTAATTTCATCAGGATTTGAAGGATCAGTTTGTGCGGATAAATTTTCTTTATCCACTTGCGTAGAACTGTGTAAAAACGCAAATATATCATATTAAATATAATTCTATTCGAAACAAAAGAAATAAAATCATATGAAATTCGCAATACATACGGAACAAATGTCATTGTTCTAATAGTAGTATGTGAACTTCCTTTATTTTGGATAGCTTCTTGTTCTGCAAGTTGCATAGCACTCGGAGCCGATGTTAATGTGGTATTTGAAGATACACTTTCTTGCTGAGAAACTTGTTGAGCTTGACGAGTTGCGAGTATTTGCGCAGATATGAAATTAACCTTAAAAATAAGCTCAAGTCAATAGTTGCGCACAAACTAACTTTAAGTTGAAATCAAAAATTTCCGTAATATCACCTCTGTGTTATATTGAGCTTGAACACTACGCTTGATTCTAAGCATTTCTTTGAATGTATCTTCGTTTCCATGTTTGACTTCAAAGTCATGCCATGTCTGCCAGAATGATGGCACTGTCTATAAACATGTAACAGGGTCAATAATGAATTAATTAAACTAAGGTAAGAACCTTGTAAAATAATACAAACCCTTGGATCACAAAATTGTGACGCATGAGCGTACAAAGCTCTTGCCCGATCAATTTCTCCTAGCTTGCGTTCTAAATCAGCGTATTTTAAACACATATCTTTGGCTTCTTTGTCAGGCAATACTTCGATCGCACGTTCATAAATCTCACGGGTGTACGTGACACCAAAGTTTGCACCCGCTTTTGCAATATAAAAATTGAACATCTAAAAGTATTTTTTGTAGTTAGTTACATGTGACAACAGCATTTCATGATTTGTCGAATAATTACCTCAAAACGGTCTTCATCAGATACTGATCTAGTTGCACGATCATATATGCGCATCGCATGTCTTGCCAAACCATAATCCTCTTCCAATTTTCCATACATAAGATACAATGATTTTGCGTATTTTGGAGGACATTTCTCAAGAGCTTGCTCAAAAAGATCTCGTGCACGTTCAAGTTTCGAACCAGACTGAATAATGAAAACATTTATGACTTAAAGTTCATTAGTTAGGATCTTTCATAAAACGAAAATGCATACGTACGTATCTAGAAATGAATTTCGTCAAATACACGTTCCATATTTCAAATGCGATTGGATAATTGAATAGTTCAACACCACGCTCGTAAACCTAAATTTAATATAATTAATTGAGTTACAAAAATAATTATAAATATGAATGATAATTACATCAACATTATCCTTACTTTAAAGCTTTCTTCGTAATATTTATTTTCTTCTAAGAAATTTGCATAATTAATTATTATTTGTGGTGTTGCTATTTTCAGTTCAAGTATTCGGTCATAGACAGCTTTTGTTGATTCTACAGTTCCTATACTTTCTTCTAAGTCAACGTAAAATGACCATAATTTGATGGATTTGAACACGCGTCGCTGGACTGGTATAGACTGAAAGAAAGTATTACACGAAATTTTTAAAGAACTCATTTCTATATTATAAAGTGCATAAAATTTCATTTATTATAAATCACTCTTTCATACCTCATCACGGAAATCTACATTTGGATTTCCTGCTGGAACTGTGGCACGACCCATTACATCAATTGCTCTGTCATATAATCTGAATAGTATAATTATAAAAATATTCATTATTTATTTCTTATGGAATAATCATAAAAAAAAAACATATATATATTGACAAATTCATACTCAAGCCGTAATTCCATCTCTGCATATTCACACCACAAGGTAGCCAAGTCGTTGACATTCTTAAAATTGACATGAGTTGCCTTTTCAAAAATTGTACGTGCATTTTCAATGTCGCCTCCTTTCTCATAATACTTGGCAAAATTGACCCACAAATCATGGAATTTTCCGGTTGCCTTCTTAGGATCTATGGTTCTCAATGCCTTTGAGTATGTTTCAACAATCTAAGTATAAATGCATTAAGAACTTATGAGTTAGTTAATTATGTTAATAAATAAATAAGTATAAATATATATATATTTATAGATAGTCAACCTTTTCATGGTTATCTTTCCATAATGATACCCTCTTCTCCCATTCATGGACGTTGTTTGGATTCTGTCTTAATAAGACGTCATTTACCAAAAACGGTCTACGATCCATCAATTGTTCGAATCGCATCAACCTCAAATCTAATTCCAAATCTTGTTCCGGATCTTCTTGGCCTGCCTCTGCACGTTCCGCTGCCTCTTCCATTTTTTTTTCAATGACAGTTTCCTCTGCTTTGGCGTAAGTATCAAATATTTGTGTAAAATCTCTGACAGTCATTACAGTGCTGATGCCTTCTTCGAAAACGTCCCTTGCCTATATTCAATGGGAAAAACGGTTAACGTACATAAGCAGATTATAAAAATTCGCTGTCACAAGTACCTTTTCAAAATGATGCAACTTTATCCAATAATTTGCAAGTGAATTCCATAATTTTCCCACTTGATCTGTAAATCTTCGAATTCCACTCCGTATAATTGGTTCTACTTTCAAACTTTTGATTTCATGCGGATGTTCACATATTAAATCACAAAGTTCCATCCATAATTGATAATTTGATTTGCCATGCATTGATTGAAAACGATCATTATTGACAACTTGAGCGAGTCGTTTTGCAGCCTCATCGTACCGATTTAATGAAAGCAACAAATCGATGTATTCTTCTACATGATCCGGTTCCAACTAATGTAATATTCACGCCAATGATGAGTAAATATTTTCTTGTTAGAATATATTTACAAGTTATCCAACCGTTATCATAAACACTGTAATAAATTTATTGTTACGAAGTATGGGAGCGACTAATGAGATTATCTTTCATAGAAATTGTAATTCCACGTACTTTTTAGAGTAATAAATCTCATTGATATTAAAGCAAGTAACTCACCATATTTTTCATTCAAATTCCAAAATGATATATAAAAAAGTGTTACAATATCTCACCTTGAGATATCTGCGATATAGTCGGATGGCAGTTTCTCCACCTATATCTCTTGCGAACTTTAAATAAATCTCCCATATCCTTGGATGTTGTGTAATTGGTAAGGCCTTTAAAGCTCGATCAAAAGTTCTACGTGCTTTCGTAATTCTGCATTGCTTCACTAGAAAATTACAATAATCTATCCATATACGGGGCATCTAAAAGTGGAAAAAAATGAAATTATCATTTAACCAATAAATAAGAAAGAGTAACTAGTTTGTACCTTATGTAATAACACCAGCGCTCTCTCGAAACAATTATTAACTTTTAAATATTCTTTTTCATATCTAGCTGGATTTAAATCTTGAACTTGTTCTCTTCGCAGATCTAGGTATTGTTTCCATATTTTATAAGATCCTGGCAACTCTTTTAAGGCACGTTCATGTACAAAAATTCTTTGTTGGATAGGTTGCTCTGCTTTATGGTCAATATATCGAAACCATGACTTCAAAGTATATGGATTACGTAGAATTTCTTCTTCAAAAGGTATATCAATTTCCTCCTGCACATCAAATCTGATTAAAAAAGCAGATCTTAACAGTCATAACGAAGAAGTAAATACGTACGATCATGTAAAATTCATCGTATTCGTTTTCATTATTATTTTCCATGGTTTCAATAACAATAAGTTTTTTTTTTACGTACGCGCAATTTCAGTTAATGTTTCGTGATAATCCATGCATGCACAGCCAATCACGTCTTAGGATTCATAGAACAGTCAGGTGAAATTCATCAACGGGTTCGCAGCGTACATAGATTTAAATTTGCGCGTATATCAGCTCTTCGTATATATAGCGCTCGTATAAAAATTTTTTTTTTTGTGCACATTTTTTAGCGTTTGCGCGAATAAAAATTTTTTGAATTTATAACACAATGTAATTATATCTATACGTAGGAATTTTACCTCAAATTACATAAGATAAAAATGAACTTTAGGGTTACGTAGAGTTTAAGGCTTAAATAGAGGTTAGGATTGGGGTGCTGAACATGTTTACTTAGTATACATATCGATTACTAAAGCCGTTTTGGTAAGCGTTAAAATTAAAATTAAAATTTTTTAAAACAAATGTCTGCTACGTATTTTAGTTTTATATTAATAAAAATATCACGATTAGATACTAAAATTTGAATTATTTTTAACTATATACTTTAATCTAAATTTTATAAGTTGAAGTTGTTAATAAGAGTATAAGTAATTTTTTAGTTTATTTTTTTTCTTAAATGCAGTCAATTCTTTATACGTAATCGATAAACTGATTATCCATATACGTATATATGTTGTTTGATTAATTATTCACTTTATATATCTAAACTCATAATTAACTGATATATATAATTATCAATTAGAAAAAACATATAAGATATCGTGGTTTTGATTAACTTCAAATATATAAAAAATAGGCTAGATGGCAATAAAGTCCATTATTCTTATCTTAATTACTGACACTATTCTGTTTTCTAATTGTACCAAACCAAAAAAAAATACTTTTAAAAAACGAATAAATGTAATAAAATAGACGATAATACAGATATTTATCTAAAAATTATTTTTTAATAAAATCGGATTATTGAAGTTTAATGAAACCATCCAGGTTGGTAATTAGAATTATTCTTCATCTAAAATAAAAGGTTTTCCATTATGTAAAATAAAAGGCTTTGAACTCAAAAGATCATGTTTCAATGTTACTTGAAATCCTTTCAAGTATTCTTCTGCTGCTTTATTCCATGAAATACTTCCTAACTTTCTGCCATTATCTGTAACCGTTATTAACATAATAGGGAAGGGTGATGCAATATATCTTTTAATAGCATATCCAGTAAAACCGTTCATTGATGATAAAATACATAATGTTCCTTCAGTTTCCTGACAAAGTACGCCTTCAAGCTCTCGAATTATATTTGGAGAACATTTTTTGGCTAAGGCTTTGCATTGACCAATGACACATAGTTTTTTATCCGGTAATATCCATTGTCCTCGAAAATCTATCCCCCCATCGTTAGTTTTACCTACTCGCCTTGTAACAATTCCAAGTGTCGTTTTAAGGCATGCTATTGTCTGATATTCATACAAATTACCGCGATATACTGGGGTATTTTTATTAACATCTTTGAGAGCAAGAAATGATTTAAGATCATTATGTTCTTTATATATATAATCTTGATCTTTTTTATCTTTTACATCCTTAGTACTTGTTGCAATTCCTTTAAAAGATATAGAATCCGATCTAAAGTTGTTAGGAGAAACAATTTTATGTAATGAAGGATAAAGCCTAAAACAAACGAAAGATAGATGAGATCTCCAGTGAAATGATTGAATCTCCGGAATCCTTGACAAAAGATAAATCTTCTGGCGAAAGAAGCTCATGGGATCTCTTGAAACAAAATCCTAAAAAAGAGCGAGAGCGTTTTTTCACTAATCGGTATACATGTCAATCTATTTCATATACACCTTGTGTTACAGGCACACAGTTCAAATAAGTCAGGCTTTTGATTAGTTATTTATTAAACACATGATCTAATGAAAATAGCGATTAATGGGAGCAACCAAAATTCAGTACGTATGGTGCTGGAAGCCTGTACTCAACGGTTACACGAAGTGTTTCAAATTTTGAAATGACTATAACTTTTTATCTAAGAGGTTTAAAAAAAATCCACCTGGTAACTTTATAGAGCTATGTCAGCTCTACATATGTGCCAAATATCTTTTCAAAATCTCATCATTGTAAAGAGTTGACGCATTTTGAAAATTGAAATTTTATATGTAAATTTATAAATATATATATAAAATTTCAATTTTCAAAATGCATCAACTCTTTACAGTGATGAGATTTTAAAAGATATTTGGCACATATGTAGAGCTGACATAGCTCTATAAAGTTACCAGGTGGATTTTTTTAAAACCTCTTAGATAAAAAGTTATAGTCATTTAAAATCGTAGGTATAGTAATAATATCTCGTGACATTAATGTATAGTTATTGGATGCGAAGCAGCCAATAACGGAAATTATTTGGAAAATAATTTATTATCTGGCTGTGAAAT